AAAAAGAAAAAAAACCAAACCCATTGCTGTCGAGTCAATTCCGACTCATAGTGACCTATAGGACAGAGTAGAGCTGCCCCATAGAGTTTCCAAGGAGCAGCTGGTGGATTTGAACTGCTGACCTTTTGCTTAGCAGCAATAGCTCTTAACCACTGTACCACCAGGGCTCTGGGGAAACCAGCTTGGGGAAACTGTAAGTAATACATTTCTAGAAGAAGTTTAACCTCACAGGTAACCCAGGAACCAGGAATCAAAGTAATAAGGTAACTTGGGAAAGTCCTAAAGAGAGGGCTGTTGTGATCACATGCCTCTAATGAGTGTACCTTTGTCTTTTCATCTTTTTCATGCAGTGTGTATGTCAAGGCATAAGCGATTCATGTTTTCACATATGAAACTCTAAAGTAGCAGTATTAGACCAAAGAAAAATAGCACCAATATCAGAATACCGGTGTTGCAATCACTGTAACCATTTCACATAGGAAGAAACTCAGATGCGAAGGTATTTGAGTGACCTGCCCGAGTTCATACAGCTAGGAAGTCCACATGCATCCGGAAGTGCATGTCCCTCTGGCCACTCCAGGGCCAGCGTTGCCACCACATCTAAGATGACTCTGTGGGGCTCCTGTGTGCCCACAGGAGCACCACTTGAGACCCTCAGATGGGAATGGAGAATGGCACCCCCGATCACTCACCGAGATGATGGTTATCACTATGTTGGCCACACCGGCCCCCACTGTGATATACTGGGAGTACTCAGCCTCCACACCCGCCGAGACATAGATCATGTCTGTGTAGTAGTTGATCTAAAAGAAAAGCACAGGGGCCAAGAGGAGAGGTCCAGAGGCCCAGGTGGAGGCTTAACTCTTCTGACTTGAGCAACAAACAGTTCTAGAAGGCTGGGTGGGAGCCCCTTGGACAGGAAGGAGGAGGCAGGTTATGGGGAAAAGGGCCATGACCTGGAGTCAGGAGACCTGGGGTGGAGTCTGAGCTCTTCTCCTTGCTGAGCCTCAGTTTCTGCATCTATGCAATGGGGGAGCTGGGCTAGACCATCTCTGTTTTTGTTGTTGTTGTTATTAGCTGCCATTCAGTTGATCCCCAACCCCCTGTACAACTGCTCCATAGGGTTTTCTTAGCTGTAATCTTTACCAGAGAAAGACCTGGCAATCTGCTTCTGTAAACATTACAGCCAAGAAAACCCTATGGGGCAGTTCTACTGTGTAACACATGGGGTTGCTATGAGTTGAAAATGACTCAGCAGCACCCAACAACAACAATCTTTATGGAAGCAGTTCACCAGGCCTTTCTTCTGCAGAGCCGCTGGTTGGGTTCGAACCACCAACCTTTAGGTTAGCAGCCAATAGCAAAACGCTTGAGCCACCCAGGCTTCTAGACCATCTCTCCTCTGGTGCTTTGTATTCTGCCATCTCAGTCCCCCTAGGATGGTTTCTCGCCTCTCATTCTGGGCCAGGCCAACCCCAAGCTCAGCTTCTGTTCTGGTCCAGCCCCAAGGATATTCTCATATCTGCCCTCCTGAAAGCCACAGGTGCTGTTCCCTGGTGGGCGCTCCTACCTGGGCTTCCCACCTCTCCTAAGGTCACTTGTTAAACATCCATGAATCCTCCAAGGCCCAGCTCAAAGGCCACCTCCTTGCTGACACTTTCCTCCGGCACCAACTGGGTTATCCACTCAACCTGCTGTGTTTCCTGGAAGTGACCCCCCATTTTTCTCAGATCTCTGCCCTTCACACCATTGACAGATTCAGTTACAACAAAAGCAACCATGTTCATACAAAGCAATGTCACCATTGTTCATGGCCACATGAGCTGGGGGTGGATTCCTGGCACAGGCTGGGCCAATGACCCACCCTCCCGGAACCCAGCTCCATCTCAGTCTAGCTGGTTTCTTGTACAGAGGGAAAGGACTATCACAGGAGGTATGTTCTCTTGGGGACTGGGAAGCCAATAAAAATATTCTGGGAAGAACATTGGGGGCACATGGGGAGAGGTGAAGTTGGGAGACAGAGAACTTCCTGGGCTTCATCATGTCATTTCATCCCTGCTTCCAGGGTATTCCAAAGGTCCCACTGCATCCCTGGCCTTCTGTTGTCTGAACAATCTGGTTCTGTAAATGAAGGCTTGTTTGCTTAAGCTCTTTCCAGGGTTGCCTGTTACTTGCAAACAAAATGTTCTGTGCAATAAAATGTGACCACCCATCACAGCCCTCTGTTTGGAACTCTGGCTCATCCACTGAGTCCCCAACTCATCTCCTCTCCTGTTCTTCCTGGATGCAGAGCTGAACTCTGCATACAGAAAGAATGCCAAAGGGACAGTGGTGGTTCAGTGGTAGAATTTTTGCCTTCCATGTGGGAGATCCAGGTTCGATTCCCGGCCAATGCACAGCCACCACCCGTCTGTAAGTTGTTATGATGTTAAATAGGTTTCAGCAGAGCTTCCAGACTAAGATGGACAAGGAAGAAAGGCTTGGCAATCTACTTCTGAAATATCAGTCAGTGAAAACCCTATGGATCACGGTGGTCTGATCTGCAACCTATCATGGGAATGGTGCAGAATTGGGCAGCGTTTTGTTTTATTGTGCATGAGATCTCCATAAACTGGGTGCTGACTTGACAGCAGCTAACAACAACCATATCAGTACTATCCATGATGTTGTTATCATGTGCATCGAGTTGATTTCAACTCATAGCAACCCCATGTGATGAAGTTCAACTGCCCCATAGGGTTTTCTAGGCTGTACGTAGCATCAGGATTGGAGAAAGACTCATTAACAACCTTCAATATGCAGATGACACAACCTTGCATGCTTAAAGTAAAGGGGACTTGAAGCACTTACTGATGAAGATCAAAGACTATAGTCTTCAGTATGGATTATACCTTAACATAAAGGAAACAAAATCCTCACAACTGGACTAATAAGCAATATCATGATACATGGAGAAAAGATTGAAGTGGTCAAGGATTTCATTTTACTTGGATCCACAATCAACGCCCATGGAAGCAACAGTCAAGAAATCAAACGACGGGGGTCTTCCGGCCAACATGATGCCATAGTCAGAGGCACCACGCCATCCCTCCACAGCAAAGATCAGAAAAACTAAGTCAAACAGAGTCACACGTCAATCCTGAAACCTTAAGCATCAAATGAAGAGATAAAGAACTCAGCCAAGCACTGAATGGAATAAGAAACTGACTGAGAACAGAGAACGAGGAGAGATACATGCAGAGGTCC